TGCTCGGCTCCTTCACATTCTCCGCGAATTGTACTTTCTTTTTCTTCTTCTCTCCTTTCTTTTTATCACCTAAAACACACCAAACAGAAGCGAGTAAAATCAATTTAGTTTTCACTATTGCCAAATTTTACATATATATATATATATATATATAGTCATGTATGTACCTGAAGACAAGCAAGAGCGTGGGGTTTTGTCGGCTGGCTCGCGGGAATCGTGATTCTCGGAGAAAGTCTTCTGCCTCGAGAAAGCAATGAACAGGACCGTAGTTGAAACCACCATGGCCGTGGCCAGAACCAAGCCCTGCGAACCCAACATACCAGACATGTTTTGGACTAAAAGAAATGAAGAATTCGGAGAATTTGATGATTGATTGTTCGTCTGTCTTACAATAGTTTGTACTCGGGAGCTTATTGTGTATATATATTATATGGTAATTTGAAAGCACTTGGAATTTACAATGGGAAAGCGAACATTGAATTGAAAAGGAAGGGGGTTATTGAATAACACGCGTGAGCATCTGGATTTCTCTTTTGCTTTGTGGAAATGGGAAATGGGAGAGAAAAAGAAAGAAAAGGGGTCGTAGAAGGTCGGCTGTAATTGGTATTTGGGTTTGGTTTGGCTTTTTCTTTGTGGTGCCCCTCTCAACGCAAAGTTGGAAGAAAGTGACCTCAAAATTTTTTTTTTTTCCCGAGATCAACAGTCAACTGTAATGTTGTTTGGTCTTCTAGAGAAAGAGGAACGGTCAAATCTGTAGTTTGGATAAGGTGTGGCGATAGTGAACAAGTACTGTTTTCCAAACCAATGATGTAGTGCCACGTCGGAGCATTTTTTTTTTGTTGGAGTGACTTCCAAGTTGTTGCTGGAAGTTTCCAATCATCTATGCATTTGAGAAAGAAAAATGTAGCATGTTTTTTAAGAAATATGAAAAATATGGGTGTTACTCATTTTGTCACTCTTTATGTCTATTAATTAACATTTATAATTTATTTATTATTTTGTATTTAAATAAAGTCTACGTGTCGAATAGTAAATGAGGAGAGTACAATAAAAGTGATAGAAAGTGACAAAAATAGTTATTATAACATTTCTCAAAAAACAATGTAATACCTAATAATTACTAAAATTCTAATTAAAAATTAGATTAAAAAGTGTGTGTATATATTTTATATATATATATATATATAATCCGAACAACAATACAATATATGTTTACATTTCATGAATTATTAAGTAAAGACAACAAACTTTTTTTTAAAGAAAATAGAGATAAAAATTAAAATCATAAAATCGAAATAGGTGCAACATATACACCACCAAATACTACATGCAATCCTGGGCACTTCAATAGAATTAGAATATTAACTGAAAATTTCTCAAAACTAAGCCTATACACATATAAACACATGCATGCATAAATAAATTTGAAATTAAAATGTAATAAACGTTCCATGCTAGAAAAACAATTGTAAGTCATAATATTTTATAGTCAAGACGGCACAAAATGGTAGATTGGTGGTCACTTTACATATAATATTTTTAGAGCTATAAGTCTGAATAGGATTAAACGGACCGGCCTAATGTTCGACACTGTTAGTTCAGTTCCAACTCAATATGTTTAAGTGCTCAGTTCGGATATGAGTTTCAAGCCCTAAATCTTATTCGGACTAGCCATCTTTTTAAAACTTTATTAAAAAATAATACCTTATAAATTTTGGGTCGGCCCACTCCAATTCTAGACTTGTAGGTTTTAGGATCGGGTTAGACGGATCCTTCTATTTTTAAGACTGATCTGATGAAAATAATGAATCAAACCAGCATATAATTTCCATTTAGGCAGGGATGTCCAAACTTTCACCTCTAAATCTTTTTCATCAACCACCAGCGATCATATGTCACTATAAGCTCCAAGAAAGGGGAGGATAAAAAGAACGATTATTAAAAGGAAAAAAAAAAAAAGAAAGCAATTTAAACTAGTAACGCTTTTATAACATATTTTAATAGCTAACTCATTATCAGCAAATGTAGAAGATTCGTAGATACAACTACCAAGGTGTTAAAAGGCTATTCTGTAAAACTCTTGGGTGAAAGTTAATCCTGTGACGCAAATATATAATGCAATTCCTCAATCCTTGATTAACGTATTAATTTCAAAAAGGAAATATGTCACCCTACAACTTTTTTTTTTTTTTTTGTCATTATTATACTGGTAATAATCTCGAAGTCCTTAATAATCTCAAATTAGTTTCTCATAATAATACAAAATGTTATCCAAGTACTCTCGAAGTCTTTTTCTAGTTAGTTTATTATTATTATTATTATTATTGTTGTTGTTGTTGTTGTTGTTGTTGTTGTTGTTGTTGTTGTTGTTGTTGTTGTTGTTGTTATTGTTGTTATTGTTATTATTATATGTTTTAAGATTGGGAAAGCAAAAATGATATGTAATGTATAAAATTATCTATAAAGTATAGAAAGGAAATTTTCTGACCCGCCAAAATTAATTTAGAACTATCAAAACACACAAGTATCAATATAATAATAGATCCTTTAAAAAGAAAAAACAAAAACAAAAACAAAGACAAACCACAGTGTTGCATGATTTCTCTTTCAAAGTATATGTGATATGGTTTATTATTGGCTAGTCTAATTTTAATCCATTTTCTACATCTTTAGTTATATTTAAAAATAAATAAATAAATAAATAAGTTTTTTTGTTTTTGTTTTTGTTTTTGTTTTTTTATTAAGGAAAAAGTCCTTAAACGCTATATGTATAATCTTTCTCCCTTATTTTTCTTTTATAGTAAAGAAAGGTATTTTCCGGTTAAATCTTTTGAAATATGATTGGCTGCAATCATAAGATTTATAACGTTAAAGAAGGTTCCACAAACAGCGAAGAAACACACACATCAAAATCACGAACGTGAACATCATGTGTGGAGGTTCCACTTGTACCGTTTATTACGGCGTCCACCTGGAGCCGCCACGTGTCAGTTCATTCCTGTTAAACACGGAAGTGAGTCGCATCTGATTTGACCCCGTGAAACGTGTCACATGTTGCGCACCTGTGAGATGCCACGTGTTACTTCGGGCGTACTCGTGTACAGCTGATGAGTGATGACAGACGATTTTCCAAAAACAAAAGGCCACAGCATTGGGACGATATGTCGTTTGTTTTCAAATCATTAACCATTGTGCGATAATAAAGACAGGCCACAGCAAGAACCATTTTAAAAGAAAAAAGAAAAAGAAATTATTCAAATTTTGCAACGGTGCAAAGTTATTATTATTACTATTTATTATTATTATTATTATTATTATTATTATTATTATTTTGCTGTTGTTGTTGTTGTTTTTGTGTTTCAATTTTATTTATGTCCTTTGTTGAGGTTATGTTGTTGTTGTTGTTTTTTTTGTTGTTGTTGTTGTTTTTGTGTTTCAATTTTATTTATGTCCTTTGTTGAGGTCGTCTAGAAGGATTTCGACCTTTTTTGTCGTCGTTTTATGATTGATATCGTTTGATATGATTAGTTGTCAAATTGTCGTTGTCTAAGTGATGTCGTTTTTTATTTCTTGTATTTTTCTGAGGACAAATAACAAATGGCTGATTGTTCAAGATACATTCGTTGTCGTTTTATATAACCTTTTTTTAGGCGTCACTATGTTGTGGTATTATTTAGAATTCTTGTTTGTGATTTCAATGTCTTCTATTGTCGTAGTTGTCGTTCAATCCAACGATGCCAATGCTGGTATGTTTGTCGTCTTTATGAGGGACGTCCACCTGTTATATTATTGTCGTTTTTTACCCTTGTCGTTTAGGTATTGTTGTGCTCTTTCCAGTTCACGTGGTTTTTTGAATTGGTATCGTTTCTTTGACAATGTCTGTTCAGTTTGGAATTGTTCTTGTTTTTGTTTTTTACATTTTTCAAGAAAAAAAATGAAAACAATTTCAAAATGGTGTTTGATACAATTAAAGATAAAAAAACAGAAATGAAAACGATTTTTTGTTTTAGTGTAAAATGAGAGAGAAATAAAAAACAACTTTTAGTCATTTTTCATTTTTTATTTTCGTTTTCTCCTCTCTCGAGCAAAGAGAAAGACATTAATGAGTTTTTTATACTGAAAATAATCTCTTGATAAAATTACCAAACGTATTTTTAAAAATAATTTATGTATAAGATTGAAAACGTTTTAATTTCTATTTTCATACAAAAAATAAAATTAGTTTAGAACGAGTTCTAAACGCACCACCCATCATTCCCTGGTTTGTGCTCTTTTTCAAGTCCTCGCCGCTTATCATTTTTTTTTATCGTCTATAGGTGATGTTTGTTGCTTGTATTATTTTCGTTGATCACATTTCTGGGTCATTTGGTTGTATTATTATCGTTGGTTATGTTTGTTGTCGTCTTCAAATTGCTGTCGCTGGACTAGATTGTTGTCGTTCCTCATATTGTTGATTTCAAGATGTTATGACTTGTGCGGTTATATTATTGTCGTTTATCTTGTTTGTTGTTAGTTTTCCCGTAGATGTCGTTTATGGGATAATGGTCTTTGAAACTTTGACATGTCAAATTTTCCGCCGCATATTCAGTATAAGTAATCACAAATATGTCGCTTCATTTCCGGGGAAAAAATAACATTTAAAATACGATTCAGCCGTGTTAGAACTAGTTTCAAGATTTGCCAGATATTTGTAAAAATAACTCTTTTGAAAAGTTTTATTAGTAAAATAATTTCTTAAAAATTTTTATTTACAAAATGACATCTTTTTATAAAGAATAAGTAAATGTCTTTCTTCATAAAAAATAGAATGTCATTTTATTAATTTCACTTTGTTGGATAGTCATTTTAGCATATTGCCTAAATTTTACTAGGTTAGATTTAAGTCAAACATCTATCACATTTACCACCCCGTTCCCTACGCGAGTTTGAATTGTGTAAACTCAAACCTTTAGGTCTTTTAAGTTTGAACTGTAGGTTTTCTGTGGTTCGAATTGGTACTTAACAGTGTAAGTCTAAACACAGAATAAAATTTGAACCAACATTTAGCTGCATTATTAGAACATAGGTTTTTTTAAAAAAAAAAATTGGGAGTGAAAATGATTGGTGAGAACCTTTGGGGTGAGTATTGAACAATAATTTGGGTTAGAATCTTAAGAACTTTGGGGGATAAAGTTTGGGTAGAACATTAAATTATGGGTTCAAATGAACTCTAAACCTAAATCCAAGTTCAAAATGTAATGCAACCAAACAAATGTTTAAATTGATTTTGGGTTCAAACCCACCTAAACTCTCCAACCAAACAGGTTATTATTAATCAACCTCATAGTCACAAGAAAAAACAGTTTATCAGAATCCATGAAGCACCTTATGATTAAGAATTTTTATTTAATTTACAATACTTGACCTGAAATACAAATTTTTGTGTTTGTAAGAAAAAACTGTGACAAAAAGATTAAATCTTGATTCAAACCTACAAAGCGAAAGAGGCCTGCAACTCATTTCCATCAAAAGATATTCAGAAAGATTGCCTTGCTTTTAATAGCGACCATAATACATAACCTACAAACCATAAGGTTTATTTAGCACGCATGATCAGTGAACGGCTTTTCTCTGTTGCCGATTACTATAAATTGAGAACGTAAAATTATGATCAGGGGAACAAAACAAACTTATTTGGACAGAACCAGAACTCGGTATAACAAGAAAATAAACATACATTTACCATACAAAAACAGATCTCATAATTCAAGCAAAGCCACTAGTTAGAAATACACCATAGCAAATACCACAATAAACCTGCTATGAACATCCTGACATAATTAACAAAACACTTCCACAAGATTACGATGATCGATAAATTATTATTGTTATTATCTTGTCACATCATATCGATAAAGAGGCTATTATTATTTAAATAGAACTAAAGTAGAAAACACTGACCACACAAACTCACTAAGTAGTAAGGATTGGAGGGAGGTAATCAGATTTGGTTCCAAGAACACGAGCCTTGGTGTCTGGGAAGAACTCGAATCCTGGCAGCTCAGTGATGTCTCCTTCACTGGCAACGCCAATAGGATAGCGAAGCAAATGGCCTGGAAGATCATGTTCAAGTGTCTCATTTGAGTAGAGATCCCAGTACTTGTCAGCAATCCGGTTCACCTTCTGCACACACTCCTTGCTTTCCGGCTCCAGGAATGATTCATCAAGCATGCCAAGGTGCTCATACCAAAGGGCCAATCGGAAACCGTGGACCTGACCACGAGCTGATTCGCGGGTGGATAAATGGCACGGTTGGTAGGCTCCCATGGCAATCTCGGTGTCCCTGGCACCTTCCATTGACCTTTGGTTGATGTTGGCAGATCCAATGATTATGTATTCATCATCAACTGCAAAAGAAAAGTGAAACAAGTGACTTGATGAAATATTTGCAATAAGAATGTAAAATAGTTGATGGGACTAGAATTTGGAGGTGTTGGGCCCTAAAGCATGTATCCAAAAACTTAAAAGAGGTTAAAATAGAGTACTATTGGAGATGGTACTATTATCACTTACCAATCATCATCTTAGTGTGGACATATATCATGAAGCGCCGTGCTGCCTGGGCTCTAATATAATCTGTATCCTCATCGGGTTTTTCAGAAGGTTCATATTCTCCTGGCTTCTTTACCTCCCGATTTCCAAGGCAGAAAAATGTCAAGTAGTTCCTAGGATCCTCCACAATACCCCTAGCCTTTAGTGCCTGAATAATATCTTTGTACATCATCTCCATTGTCCTCCTCTGCCAGTCTAATATTGCCTGAACAGATCCACTCTCTGGGATCCCCTCTGGCCACATTGGGACAACAATGTAGACGGTAAACCTCTCACCTGCTTCAATCTTGCTGGTAATCTTCAGGGACAGCTCCTTCGGAATTAGATGCGAAGCGTTAATATCCTCTGGCTTAATGCCATCAGCACTCCATGCATAAGAGCTTCCAAGGAAGTACTGGTTTTCAATATAGATGAAGTTCTTTGCACGTCGAATGGCATTGATGTAAGCATCCTGAATGCTTCGATCAATGATGTTATCCTTCCCACTCACAAGCCCAGATTTGGTTGCGTCTTCGGGTGTGTCAGGGAAACCAAAAGCTGCACCACCATCAATAGATCTGAACAACTGAACATTCCAAGACTCGTGGTCCTCAGGATACATGACAGGGGATGGAGGAATGATGACATCATCAAGCTCTCTGAGGGGAACGAGTATATCCTTACCACCTTGCTTTCTCCACCTCTGCTCAAAGTTAAACAGGACATCCCAAGCAATGGGACCTTCTAGCTTAGAGTGGATGTCGTGCCACGGCTCTCTCGGGCCACCTTTATTGATGGCTGCCCCGGGAAAGTTTGGCTGGTGGAAATCATCGTGGTGGGCACTATCCAGTGTCCTGAAAAGTGAGTGGAAGGCAGTATCATATCTCCCATCACATAGGTCAATACCCCCAACGAAACTTACTATTCTCCTTTTATCTGATCCTGAACCAGGTAATTCACTGTCAACAACAACAATCTTCTGGTGGTGAGTGAACATGGTTGATATTTGCACGTTCTGAATAAAACTTCCAGCATCATCGGGATTGCGAGGGCACAAAACACAATGTACATCACTGTTTCTGAAGAAGTTTTCAGTATCTTCATCATGCGTGGCCATTAGTCCATCCTTCTTCAACAAATCCACAGACGTTCTGTCATCCCAAACAAGCATAAGAACTTTAACACCTTCACTTGCCTTCTTATTAAGCAGATCTCCCAGCTTAATGTCTCCACCAGGCTTTGGCCTCCTAGAGTCTCTTACCAGAGAAATTTCGGTGTAAACAGACCAGCCAGTAATGTAGATCAAGTGTTTAGCATTAGAGATTGCATCAAAGATATCCTCCCAACATCTGTGGGCCTCATAGTTCTTGCCAGAGGCAAGGGGGATTGGAGGAATGAAATTATCTGGGACATGAGCATCTTGATACAGGGAGACCTTGCATCCTTGTCTCTGGGAGAAAAACGTATATGGAACTCCAGGAAATTTAAGACTTCTAATACCAAGTCCCCAATTGCGGTCCTTCGTAACATCGAAGAATTGGAGCTTCACATGAATCTTAGAATTTCCGTGGATAGGATTTTTGTCTTCATCCAATATTTCAACCCATCTGTCCACTTCTTCCCCATCCAAGATGTCCGCAACAGGTACGTATGCTCTTCCAATTAATGTTGCTCCAATAGGATTGTCATCTTTGACAGTGAATACGACATTTGAAGCCAAATGAGCACAGTAAATGTGAAAAGACTCAAACCACCTAGGGTTGGAGTGTTCCTTTTCTATAATTCTGGTTCTTCCAACCCTAGCCTTTTCCAGGTCAATAGTGGCATAGAGTTTGGTAACTCCATCGCCCAAACCGACAGTCTCTTGGATGTTATCCACAAGCTACAAGATTAGAAAGAATAAATGATATGTTAAAGATTCTAATCCAACAAGACCCAGAACTACGAACCTCCAAAACCAGCAAACATCTTGAATCTGTACTGCTTTTGTCAAGCACAGATTTCAAATTTTCATGAGCTGAAACAGGCATGAAATAGATCAAAAAAAAATCTTGTTGTTTCTTATGAGTATAAGGAAATATAGCTAATGTAAAAGCTAAAAAGATCTACAATAGGTCAATATTTTGAGGTTTTCAGTCTCATTTATGTAGGTAAAGTACTTATAACCATGGGAAAGAACCCCTCAATCTAAACAACTTTTTGCTAGGGAAACAAACATATAAGCTTTCAAAAATATAATTACAAGTAATATTTCGAAATTATGCTATTACTGGCTAGAACTAACAAGAGATGCTGAGAAATAGGAAAAGCATATATTAACCATACTATATATCATCAAGATGGCAAGAAACTTTTATATTTCGCTCAAACAGTATATTTGCATCACTTCAAACATGACATGCTTGTGAGTCCATAATAGTAAACTTCCATTTCATAAGATGGTAGTAGAAACACTATTTCCCAGTAGAATAAGTCCAAATAACATAAGACAGCAACAAACGTACCAGGGGTAAGAGAAAAGGAGACAATTTGTTAAACTTTCTTAAGCAGTTGTGAGAGATTCATGGATTTATGCTAAGATCAGGAAATATGGCAGGATATCATCGAAACCTAGTTAAAATACTACAATCTTTCCTGTAAACAACATAATCTTCTATTTTGTTTTTAATTTTACTATTAAGGCTTTGGGAACAAAAAATCTGTCCCTAGTTAGAACTAAGAAAATGAATTGTCCATATCCCAGTTTCTCAATGTCTTAATGAACAACAAATGTGATTTCAGTTTCCCAACGACCCTTATACTAATACATCCTATACAACAGAACCCAGTTCATGAAGATCACAAATTTGACCAGAAATCACTTTCTACGAATCCAAATGGACCCGAGTTTATTTTTTTTTTAGAAAAAAAGTTTTTTCACGGTGCTTTAAGTTCTTCCGCGAGAGTCCTAATAACAGATCCAATTTTCCAAAAAACTTTTCTAGATCAGCAATACTCAGTTCTTGATCAGTGTTCGCACCCACCCAAAAAAAAGAGTCAAAATGTACGGAACAGAAAAGCAAAAAAAGCTCAAAATTACGAAAACCAGCTAGGATCACTAAAGAAAATCAATCAAAGAGATAAAGTGTGAATCTGATGGAATATACCTTGCTGAAGAAATTGCCACCTCCTTTACCACGCAACTTATCGACCTCATAGATCGTGGCGTGAAGCGACCCATGTAGCAAAATATGCGCCATTTTTCACCTGTAACAAAAAATCAAAACCAAAATGATAAATAAATACCCAATTCTCCTAATCGGATTCCGAGACAGAAAAAGCAAACCAACGACGAGATGAGAGAGAAAGGGATCAGATCGCACACTGGAGAGAAAAACCCAGAAACCAGAAGTTCAAATGAAACACCACAGAAACAGAAACAGAGAAATAAAAAGATATGTGGAAGAAAGTTTATTTATGATCTTGTTTTTCTCACTTTTTAGATTTGGGTTTGAGAGATCTGAGAGAATATAAACAGGAGGATAATAAAGATCTGATCCGGTCTTTGTTCTCTTCTCTGTGCGTATGTGTCTCTAGATATTATATAAAAATATAAATATATACTATTATATGTATATAAGTATATATTATTCAACTCGAGAACGTCGTCTTATAGATAGTCATACAGAGAATGTGAAAATATGAAAATGAGAGAAAAGAGGAAGAAGATCCGAAGTTACAGGTATTAAAAGCTCTTCTGCCTCTCTCTGTGTGTCTGTTCCGCGGGGAAAGCGCATCTATGACGAATGCTACCTCCACTCTCACCAATTGTATAGCTACCAAATCCACCTCCATCACTTAATCCCCCAATAAAATATCAATTAGCACTCTTACATTTGACTTTCCCCCTTTTTTTTTTTTTGAGATAGATTTTTTCTTTTTATTAACATATACGATTTTCACGTCCCACATTAGAAATATTCTATAATTTTGAGGTTATTTTCAGTTAATTTTAGATCTCAATCGGCTCCTTCAGTCCAATTCAAACTTTTACAGTCCTAGATCTTAATAATAATTAAAAAGAAAAGAAAACAAGCAGAATTTTACGATACGTCATAATAGATAATTATTTATTTTTCTTTTATTTTTTTATCTATTCATATTTTTGCTTTGCAAATGAATCAAATTGTAATTAAGTTAAATTCGTTTCTTGGATTTATAGGTCACAAAATTACTAATTTTTATAATAATGTGCCTGATTTTTAGTTTATTTAACATCCTTTTTTTTTGGCCGAATAAGCTACAGATAAAACTCTTTTTGAAAAATTTGTGCAATATTTCCTTTCTCATTGAGACGTTTAGTTCATGAATTAAAATTATTTTCGATTTACGTGTATTTTTTATGAGAGAAAATACTGTAGCAAACTATGAATCATGATTCAAATCGGGGTACGAATCTCTCAACCAAACAACCACCGCTCGTTTTTTCTTTTTTCTTTTTAGTTTGTTTTTAAGTTTTTCTTTTTCTTTCTTCTTTTTTCTCCCTTATTTTTTTATTACATCTTTTAACTTTTAATTTTTATGTATCTTGAAATGTATTCTTTATAAATACTTTTTTTATAATTATTTAAAATAATATTTTTTCTTCTAATTATCTTGTTAAATTAAAATTTTTTAATATCTCCTTATATAAACATTTATTGTTTGTGATCATCTCATAATTATAACTTTAATTGTGAAACATTTTACACAAGTTTTTTTAAATTTTTTTTTGGTGTGTTTTTCCACTGTATTAGGCTTCATATTTTTTTTTTTTTCTATTTTTGTCTTTGTTTCTTTTTTCTTTTTTTTTTTCAACGATTTATATAACTATTGTTTTAAATGAGTCACACGCATTGACTAGTTAGAATTAGAAATATTTAGGGTTAACCTTCTTGATCCAAACTCCAAAGTGGCTCCCGCTACTACCCACCCTAAGAATCATTGATCTCAAATCTCAATCCTATTGTTTGGGCATACCATATTTGAAAGTCTACATTTTTATTTAAAATGCATGTTAATTTATATCAACTTAAAGTGCCAAGTACTATGAAGTCTTTTGCTTTCAGTGGCGTTCTATTTCTTCAATTTAAGAAATTAATTACATGTCAATTCAAATTTAAATTACAGTTGTTAAATTGATGAAAGCTGACATATATATATATATATATATATTTTTAAGTATAATTGAAATAATAAGCAATTGTAAAACGGAGTTTTCAATTTCCGTTTTAATAATCTGTTATCGTAAGACTGATACACGTGGTGGCTTGTGGCTTATGGCTTAGTAGCCCAGTGTGGAAGGTCAAATTTCTGTGTTAAAAAGTATTTATTTTCCAAAATTAAGAGATTGTTTGGTTGAGGGATTCATTCTTTAATTTGAATTATGGTTCATGGTTCGTTATAGTATTTTCTCTTATAAAAAATACACGTAAATTAAAAATAATTTTAATCACATGATTCTAATTCATGAGCCAAACGTCTCTTAAATTTAAAATGGAAATTGCTGCCTCCGTTGACAACGTGACATTCGACAGAATATCAGGAATATTTAGGACATGTGGGAAGTATTAAAGTATGATTCGGTAAAAGACGAAACAAAGCTAAAATTGTAGATCCCAAAGCATTATGTATTTTTAATTTCAATAAACACATAGTAATAGATCCCTCATTGGACACATATGAGACCCATTTAACTTCTACCGGTGAGATTACGCCTTATGAAAAGGTTAAAACAACATTTTTTTTTTCAGAAAAATGAACTTAAACTTTATATTTTAGTTTAACATGCCTTGAACTTAAAAAAAAAAAATGTTAACTTCCCCATTTAATCGTTCAAAACGTATCTTTTGGCCAAATTTGCCTACAATATTAGTGTATTACTAACATGATAACATGAATTACAATTTCATGAATGCTTTCAAGTTTTTTATTTTAATGCAACCTGTCTCCCAAACCATTGATTTTTCATGCCAACTTGCGTTCTGATTTTAATCAATTAAGAGAATGAGATTTGTGGTTGATACGGAGGGGAAAAAAATACGGGAAACGTTTACAAACCATAAAATTTGATAAACACAACACTCTAACGAAATTCAATAAAAAACTAATGAAACTTCGGAATTGTATATCCAATTAATAAGATGTGTATAAGACATTAAGGTGCATCAAATGTTTTATGATATCGCAAACGTGTCATCAATTCATTGAAGAAGTCTGCCAAAATCTGACATGATCTGGCAAATCTAGTGCATAAGGATGCTATGTTCATATCCAGCAAACTGGTTACTGCCGGTGGATATTATACAACAATTGAGGCATTTATGTTAATAATAAAAGTACGTTAATGTAAATCCAGAAATGTAATTTTATATGTATGTTAAAATGTCAAAGGCACCATAATTGGGAAGGTGAATTGCAATTCACCCTTTTTATTTAGCACAAGTGTATGCAAAAGTGAATTGACGAAGAGAAATTGAAGTGCATCCAAAAAGCAAGAGATACATAGGGCCCGTCTAGTTCGCTGATTCGAGTTTTTAATTTGAGTTGAGATGTGATTTTATGTGTGAACTTTTTACTGTAGCAAAAAAGTTAAATGTGATTGTTTGTAAGAGCTTTTTACTGTAATAAAACTCAAATTCTAAACTCGAATCAGCAAAATAAATAGGGTCATAATTAGTGCAAATTAAAAGTCACGAGCATTATCAATTGCTTTTGGCTCCATTACACGAGTCTTTTCATTTTTGATTCAAATTGACAAAATTTCACCACTCTTTAATGAATGATACTTGATGCGGAATTTGTCCCTTTTCTCTCTACTTTTTTTATTGACTTTTCTTGACCGCTAGAGTAATGATTTTCTCCCCCTAAAATGTGCCAAAAAAAAAATTTGTCTTACTGCTCGGATTAACAATTATTATTATTATTATTATTTATTTTCATTTGCCTTATATAGGTATAGATAGATATTTCGTTTCCGCCTTTAGGATAAACAAGTGGTATTTTTCCTTTTTTCTTTTATTTGTTTAATAAACTTTCAGTGGGGTATTTTAGTATGGAACATGATTTTCTATGGGTGTCAAGTTAAGTGGAATGTATAAGAGATACTTGATACTTGCCGATACCTCTATGTTGTTGTTGTTTTTTTTTTTTTTTTGTTTTTTGTTTTTTTTAATAAAATAATACACTCATCATACGCTTTTCTATTTTGCTTTGTATATAACTACTATTACGTAATTAAATTTATTTATTTTCATTGTGATATGTGGTATGAATGTGCTAAATAACACTAATAGGATGTTTATTTTAAGAGTTCGTCAATGGTTCTGAATCACGGTTTTTGATTCTCTATAGTGTTTTTATTTCATAAAAAATTTAAATTTTAAAAATTAAAATCATGAATCATGATTCTGAACCTATAAACCAAGCGTCTCATAACTGATTGTGGATATAGGTTTTGGTCTAATGATAAATCTCTCCTTATTTTAGTAATTAGGTCATAAGTTCAAATCCAATCCCTATCCCAATCCTTTTAACTTCATAGGTCTTGTAGTAATGTAGTTGGTAGACTGGTCCATTCAGTTCGTTGATTCGAGTTTTTAATTCGAGTTGAGATGTGATTTTATGTGAGAGCTTTTTACTATAATAAAAAAGTTAGATGTGACTGTTTCTGAGAGCTTTTTACTGTAACAAAACTCGAATTTTAAACTCAAATCGGTAAAATGAACGGGTCATTGTCATTTCAAACTCAACATTAAATTTAAATTTTGTGAGAAAAATAATATAACAAAAAATTTCAATAAAAATATAAATTATTAATTTGTTTAACAAAAGAAATCTCTTTTTTTTAACAAAAAATAAAAAGAATAGAAAGTAATCACACTAGTTACTTACTAACTGTCATTATTACCAGAGGAAGAGGTGGCATGAATGATTTTAGATTAGCAAAAAAAAAATGATTTTAGATTGGTCGTACAATTGTGCATTAATTATTACTGTATCTAGATCAGTATCAGTATTTTAAAGGGAAAATAATAGATGAACAAAATAATAGATTAATCATCCAACATACGTGTAACGCATTCATTATCAGTTTGGTTCTTACCGACACAAAGTTCATAGGTGATGAGAACCGACGGCTGGATTAGCACAAGAGTCTTGACTAAAGTAGCGGATAAGGATGGGCCCGCCAGAAAAGGAGTATCCAAATTTTATCCAGTAAGGGTGTGACACGTGTGCTGACACACGTTGTTGCTTTTCGTTTATTACTGACAAGTGACACAAGACCACGCGTTCTTTTTTCCTCGCAGATCGCACTAATAGCGGTGATTAGACAAAGACAATTCTAGAGTAGGAGAAGGGACGGCAGAATTATGGGCCCAAAAGCCCATTCACTTGGCTAAGCCTTGTTTAATGTAATGGGCTGGTAAGATCTCGAGATATCAAAAGCCTTGTCTATTATCACTTGAGACCGGTGCTTGTTTCATTTCACTATTTTTTTTAGGTAATCTTGATGGATACCTTTAAAATTGCATAAGTTAAGATTTTTATTTTTTACTCTTGATTCATAATCTTTTTAGTTAAATAATTACACTAATAAAAGAATATTTATCAAGAGTAAGAGATAAAAGTTCAGACTCATGGGTATCTAAGAACATGATTTACTAAAAGTACTCCTTTTAAAA